ATCAATGAAGATCATATCACCCTCACATCCTTTAGGAGTTTTTTTTTGTTTTGGATAACAGGGTTGTTGTTGTTTGTTTGTTTATCAGATGTATTTACAAATATTTTCTCCCAGGCTGTGGCTTGTCTTGTCATTTTCTTGACAATGTCTTTCACAGAACAGATGTTTTTAATTTTAATGCAGTCTAGCTTGTCAATTATTTCTTCATGGATCATGCCTTAAAAGTTATCATCATACCCAAGGCCACCTAGATTTTACCCTATGTTGTCTTCTGGAATTTTTATCATTTTGCATTTCACATTTAGGTCTGTGGTCCATTTTGAGTTAATTTTGAAAGTGTGTAAGATCTGTGTCTAGATTAACTTTTTTTAAAAAATTTATTTCTTACATACATGACAGTAAATTAACTTTTTTGCATGTCCAGTTTTAGCACTACTGTTTTCTCCAGTGTATTGGCTCTGCTCCTTTGTCAACTATCAGTTGATTATGTTTATATAGATCTATTCCTGGGCCCTTCGTTCTGTTTCATTGACCTATTTGTGTAGCCTTTTGCTAATAACAGATTGTCTTGATTGTGATGGCTTTATAGTGAATATTGAAGTTGGGCATTGTCAATCTTTGGAATTTATTCTTCTCCTTTAATATTATGTTGGCTCTTTTAGGTCTTTTGCCTTTCCATGTAAACTTTAGGATCAGTTTGTTGGTATTCACAAAATAACTTGCTGGGATTTTGATTGGGCTTGCATTGAATTTGTGCTCAATTTAGGAAGAACTGACATCTTAATAATGTTGAATCTTCCTATCCATGAGCATGGAGTATTGCCCCTTTTAGTTTCTTTTTTTAAAAATTATTTTAATCAGTCTCATGTTGAAAGGAGTTCTTTATCAATTTGAGGAAGTTTCCCACTATTCCTAGCTTGCTGAGAGCCTTTTTTTTTTTTTTTTAAATATCATAGATGGATACTAGATTTTGTTGGATTCTTTTTCTGAATCAATTATTATGATCATGTGATTTTTCTTTTTTAGCCTATTGATTTTTGAATGTTGAACCAGCCTTACATACCTGGGATAAATTCCACACGGTTGTGATGTATAGCCTTTTTTATACATTGTTGGATTTGATTTTGTTGAGGATCTTTGTGTATATGTTCATGTGAGAGAATGGTTTATAATTTTCTCATAATATTTTTTCTGGCTTTAGTATTTGGGTTCATGTTGGACTCATGGAATGAGTTAGGAAGTATTCTATCTGCTTTTATCTACTGAAAGAAATTTTAGAAAATTGGTTGTAATTTCTTAAACGTTTGGCAGAATTCACCAGTGAACTCCTCTAAGCCTGATGCTTTCTCTCTTGAAAGGTTGTTAATTATCAATTCAATTTCTTTGATAGATACAGGATTATTCATTTTCTATTTCTTCTTGTGTAGTGTTGGCAGATTGTGTCTTTCAAGGAATTGAATTGGTCCATTTCATCCAGGTTGTCAAATTTGTGAACATTATTGTTCGTAGTATTATCCTTTTGTGATGTTTCCTCTTTTGTTTCTGATGAATTTAGTTTACTTGTCTTTTTCTAGTTTCCTAAGTTGAAAACTTAAAGAGTATTAATTTTAAATATTTTTCTTTTCTAATATATTTGTTCAATATGACATTTTCCTTTGAATACCATTTTCACTGTATCCCACAAATTTTGATAAGTTGTATTTTCATTTTTATTCAGTTCAAAATATTTTTAATTTCTCATGAGATTTCTTCATTGACCCATATTTTATTTCAAAATTTTATTTGTTGTGTATTTTGACATTATACATACATGGATTAGAAGTTCCCAATCTGTGATCATTCATGGTATGGAGTTACACTGGTCTTGTTCATCTTAATATCTGAATATAAGAAAGTTATGTCTGATTCATTCTACTGTCTTTTCTATTCCCATTCCCCCTCCCTGCCCTTCATTCCCTTTTGTCTAATCCAATGAACTTCTATTCCCCCTGCCCTTATTGTGTGTTAGCATTCACGTATCAGAGGGAATTTAGCCTTTGGTTTTTTGGGATTGGCTTATTCCAGTTATCATGATAGTCTCCAGTTCCATTTATTTACTGGAAAATGTCATAATTGCATTCTTCTTATGGCTGAGCAATATTCCACTCTGTGTGTGTGTGTGTGTGTGTGTATCACATTTTCTTTATTCATTCATCTGTTGAAAGGCACCTAGGTTGATTCCATAGATAGCTTACCTATTGTGAATTGAGCTGCTATAAACATTGATATGGCTGTGTCACCATAGTATGCTGATTTTAAGTCCTTTGGATGTATACCAAGGAGTGGGATAACTGGGTCAAATGGTGGTTCAATTTCAAGTTTTCTGAGGAATCTTCATACTGCTTTCCAGAGTGGTTGCACCAATTTGCAGTCCCACCAACGATTTATGAGTGTACCTTTTTCCCCACATCCTCACCAACATTTATTGTTACTTGCGTTCTTGATAGTACCGTTCTGACTGGAGTAAGATGAAATATCACTGTAGTTTTAATTTGCATTTCTCTAATTGCTAGAGATGTTGAACTTTTTTTTCATATATTTGTTGACCAGTCATATTTCTTTTTCTGTGAAGTGTCTATTCAGTTCCTTTGCCCATTTATTGATTGGGTTATTTGTTTTTTTGGTGTTAAGTGTTTTGAGTTCTATTTTGGTACCAGGGATTGAACCCAGGGCACTTAACCATTGAGCCACATCCCCAGCCCTTTTTTAATATTTTGTTTGGAGACAGGGTCTCACTGAATTGTTTAGGGCCTCACTAAGTTGCTGAGGCTGGCTTTGAACTCAAGATCTTCCTGCCTCAGCCTCCCGAGCTGCTGGTATTACAGGTGTGTACCACTGCACTCAGCTTGAATTCTTTATATATCTTGGAGATTAGTGTTCTATGTGAGGTGAAGGTGGCAAAGACTTTCTTCCATTCCATAGGCTCTGTGTTCATGTTCTTGCTGTGAAGAAGCTTTTTAGTTTGATACCATCCCATTTATTGGTTCTTGATTTTACTTCTTGTGCTTTAGGAGTCTCATTGAGGAATTTGGGTCCTAAGCCAACAATGATGGATGTTTGAGCCTGTTTTTTCTTCTAGTAGGTCCAGGGTCTCTGGTCTAATGCCTAGGTCCTTGATCTACTTTGAGTTGCGTTTTGTATAGGGTGAGAGATAGGGGTCTAATTTCATTTTGCTACATGTGAATTTCCAGTTTTTCTAGCACCATTTGTTGAAGAGGCTATCTTTTCTCCAATGTATGTTTATGGCACCTTTGTCAAGAGTGAGATACCTGTATTTATGTGGATTTGTCTCTGTGTTTCTATTTTGTACCATTGGTCTTCATATCTGTTTTGGTGTCAATATCATGCTGTTTTTGTTACTATAGCTCTGTAGTATAATCTAAGATCTGGTATTGTGATGTATTCTTTTAAATTTGCTAAGGTATGTTTTATGATCCAGAATGTGGTCTATGTTGGTGAGTGTTCTATATGAGTTTGAGAAGAATGTATACATTTGGGCTTTGGTATGTTCCAGGAATTGGTTCTAGGACCTCCATAGATACCTAAATCTGCAGATGCTCAAGTCCCTTTTATGAAATGACATGGAATTTGCATATCACCTATGCATATTCTGCCATGTATTTTAAGTTGTCTCTAGATTACCTATCATACCTAAAACAATGTAAATATCACATAAGTAGTTGTTGCATTGTATAGGAAATAATGACAAGAAAAAGTATGTTCATGTTCATCATAGACACTTTTTTTCCCCAAATATATTTTTTTAATATTTATTTTTTAGTTTTAGGTGGACACAATATCTTTATTTTACATTTATTGTGCTGAGGTTCAAACCCAGGGCCTCATGCATGCTAAGCGAGCACTCCACCACTGAGCCACAATCCCAGCCCTCCCCAAATATTTTTGATCCATGGTTGGTTGAATTCACACATAGTAAACTCGTGAATAGGAAGATCTGAGTGTATTCTACCATTGTTGGATGAAATAATTAATTAGATGTCAATTAAATCTAGTATATTGGTGGGGCTGTTGAGTTTAACCTTGTTCTTAGCAATTTTCTGCTTACTGGGTAGAAGAAGGGGGTTGAAGTGTCATGATAGATCTTTTTTTTAAATTTTTTTATTGTTGGTTGTTCAAAACATTACAAATTTCTTGATATATCATATTTCACACTTTGATTCAAGTGGGTTATGAACTCCCATTTTTACCCCATATACAGATTGCAGAATTACATCAGTTACACATCCATTGATTTACATATTGCCATACTAGTGTCTGTTGTGTTCTGCTGCCTTTCCTATCCTCTACTATCCCCCCTCCCCTCCCCTCCCCTCCCCTCCCCTCCCCTCCCCTCTTCTCTCTCTACCCCCTCTACTGTCATTCATTTCTCCCCCTTGTATTATTTTTCCCTTTCCCCTCACTTCCTCTTGTATGTACTTTTGTATAACCCTGAGGGTCTCCTTCCATTTCCATGCAATTTCCCCTTCTCTCTCCCTTTCCCTCCCACCTCTCATCCCTGTTTAATATTAATCTTCTTCTCCTGCTCTTCGTCCCTACTCTGTTCTTAGTTACTCTCCTTATATCAAAGAAGACATTTGGCATTTGTTTTTTAGGGATTGGCTAGCTTCACTTAGCATAATCTGCTCTAATGCCATCCATTTCCCTGCAAATTCTAATGATAGATCTTATTTCATCTTGCAGTTCTGACAGTTTTTGCCTTATATCTTTTGATGCTCTGTTGTGAGGCATATCCATATTAAAGATTGTTATGTCTTACATTATCATTATGTAATGCCCCTCTTTATCCCTGATAATTTTCCTTGCTCTGAAATCTGCTTTGTGTGAAATTAATATCGCTACTTCTATTTTCTTTTGATTAGTGGTAGTATGTCATGCTTTCTCCATCCCTGTACTTTTAATCTGTATGTGTCTTTTGTTAAAGTGGATGTGGTGGTACTCACCTGTAACCCCAGCAACTTGGTCGATTGAGGCAGGAGGATCACAAGTTCAGGACCAGCCTCAGCAACTCAGCAAGACCCTGTCTCAAAATTCAAAAATAAAAAGGACTGGAGATGTGGCTCAGTGGTAGAGCACCCTGGGTTCAATCCCCAGTACTGGGAAAAAAACAAAAAACCCCAAAACATTTTTTATGATTCAGTTTTCTCCCTAAGAGTATCAGTTAAAAAAATACACACACACACACACACACACACACACACACACACAAATACACGTATATATATTAAAAACTTTTTATAGTGGTTGCCCTAGAGTTTACATGTTTAAATATATATCATTTAAAAACTGAAATGTTTAATGAATTTCGTATCATCCTTGCTTTAAGATATGCTAATCTTCTCTTTCTAATTTTAGTACCTATGTTGCCCAAATGAGCAGTTCTTCTTCTTTAGTAGGAAGTCATCGACATCAGCAGCAGATATTGCCTTGAGGTGAACATGCATCTGTGCCTCTGGGTCCTGAGTATCAGTCTAGACTTTCAGGACTAAGCAATAGCAGCCTCTCAGTTTTTATCACTGATTTTTGTGTGTTTTACCCTACCTGCATGGTCAGTATCAGACCCACATGCTAGTTCCCTAGGCCCCTGCAGTTTTGTCAGTGTAAGTTTAATTCTCAGACATCACCTCTTGTTCATCCTCAGAACTGCAATTTCATTTCATGAGATGAAAAACAACCAAGTCACCTCCGTTTTGGAAGAAGGTGGTATGGCCACAATTCTTGGGCCAACTCTTAATAATCTTTTTCCTTCTTTGTTTTTTTAAACAGATGTGATGTTTACTGGCACAGCAGATGGCCGGGTTGTAAAACTTGAAAGTGGTGAAATAGAGACCATCGCCCGGTTTGGTTCGGGCCCATGCAGTAAGTGGGCGACAAATCATTCAAAAAGGTGCCACCTGTAGAACTGCTTTTCTCTAGAAGCCAGCTTCACCCTTGGAGAAGAAGAAGCCATGACCATTTGGCAGAGAGAACATGATGTGGAATTTGCATTTGCCAGGTGGTTGGTTGCTGGACCTCACAGGGCTTGGTGGTTACCCAACTGGACGGTAGCCATGGAACCTCTTGGATACTTTGTGGGGCTATACTTCTTCACTATTCCTCAAGTTGTGGTCACTTTTGTGGTGGTTTTAGAGGTTAATTGATGATGTTGAAGTGCTGTTACAGAAAAGTAGGTGGCTTTATCATGACTGGAATGCTCATGTGTAATGGCTGTATTAGCTTTTGGAGAATTGTAACAGTGTCATTCAAAGTGAAATGCTCTTAAATCATTGCAGGTTTTGGAAACCTAAACTAGAAGACTTCCACTGTTTAAAAATTGATAATCCAAGGCTTCTTTTAATTTTTATTTTGTTATTTTATGTTATTTATGCTATTTTATTTTACTTTATTTTTATTGTCATTTTATATTACTGGAGATTGATACCAGGGCTGCTTTACCACTGAGCTACATCCCAACTCCTATTTAAAATGTTTTATTTTGAGGCAGAGTCTCACTAAGTTGCTGAAAGTTTCGCTACATTGCTGAGGCTGGCTTCAAAATTGGGTTCTTCCTGCCTCAGCCTACCAAGTTGTTGGGATTATTGCTATGCACCACCATGCCTGGATTTTTATTTTTAATTTTTTGTGATGCTGGGGATTGAATTCAGGGCTTTGTGTGTGCTGAACAAGCTCTTTACCTTTGAGCTATACCCCTAGTTACCATTTTTAATAGCTAGAATATTTTCGTAAAATGATGCATTTTCATTATGAAATGGAAAGAATACAAACATAATAAAAACAAAATAAAAATCACCTTAGCTTCTCAGATGTAATTGTTATGGATATTTTAGTGAGTAACTTTTCAGGTATCTTTCTATTCATGGGTACTCATACCCACTCAGTTTTTTATATGATGGATCATACTCTAAGCTTGATTATTTAACCTCCTTTTTCTGTTCCGTTTTGGCAGTAAGCAACCCACAATGAGCACCTCACAGTAAGCACCAGCACCAAGCACCTACACTAAACACCTTGCAATGAGTACCCACAAGCACCACCGTCCATAGTGAGCACTCTTTGTGGACATCTAAATAGTAGCACTTGTAGTGAGTACCCTGGAGTGAGCACCTTCAGTGAGTATTCTGCAGTAGTACCTACGTTGAACATCATGAAGTGAGCATTGTAGGGACTGGTCTAGTTCTAATGCTATGACTCTTTTTGCTCTGTACATCATGATGTCTGTTTAGGTAGAAATGGATGAGATACTTGGACACTGAGGAGGGCAGCCACCAATTCCTGTCTATTTGTCTTCCTAGAAACCCGGGATGATGAGCCTGCTTGTGGGAGACCTCTGGGCATCCGGGCAGGGCCCAATGGAACTCTTTTTGTGGCTAATGCATACAAGGGACTGTTTGAAGTAAATCCTCAGAAACGTATGTGACAATAATGTGTTTCCTTCTGTGGTGTTTTCAGCTCTTTTATATGATGTGTGTATAAGTAGATTTAATAGGATTTGTTAAGAATGGTCTGCTAGAGACTCTAATATTTTCTTACTCACTGAATGGTACCGAAAGCGTTGCCTACATATGTCAACTAGTTTTAGCCATCAGATCTCTCTGTGTGATGGCATTTGATCTGTGTTGATTTCTTCTGTTATTAGTATTTTAGCCACAGGGTCTCAAGGAGGTGCATTTGGGGATTTTAGACCTTTTCTTCCTATCTTTATTTTTCTTTGTATTTCTGTATCTTGTCTTCCTGTTTATTTTTTCTCATCTCTTTGTTACCACCCCCTTTGTCTTTTCTCTTTCTCCAGCTCTTCATCTTTTTTCTCCCTTATCCCCTGACTGGTCATGATGTCACTTTGACTGTGTTACAATATTTGCTCTGTGTACTTTCTTGGTTGGCAATTTATGCCATGGAGGAGACTGTCTGTAGGGGCCAGATCATGGACCCTGTAGACTGGCCACCTGGGTAGCCCCTGCTCTGCCATTTGATGACTGTGCAACTATATGCATTACCTGGCTTCTGTATGCCCAGTTTCTTCGTGCACAAGATAGGGATAGTAGTTGGGCCTGTCTTGTGGTATTGCTGCCAAGATCTAAATTAGATTATACATGAAAAGAGCTTAATACTCAATAAATGTTCTATTATTTTTATTTCGTTATTTTATATTTTACTTTTTAATTTTATTTTGTAATGTTATTTTATTTTATTTCAGTCTAAGTCTAGCTTAGTCTAGACAGATTTTTACAGTGTTGCCCAGACTGGCTTCAAATGTGGCTCAAGTGATTCTCCTGCTTCAGCCTCTGTAATAACTGCAACTGTGGTGCATGTCACTGAGTCTTACTATTTTTAAGAACATATTCCTGCTACTTCTTTACTTAAAAGCCAATGAATGTAACATTCATATTTTTCTCAAGCAAAATAGTACTTTAAAGCCTTTAACATAACACTCTTGATACGTTTTTTTTTCTTCTTCCTTATTATGTTAGCATTAATATGCTGTTTTTACATAAGAAAGAACAGATCTTCTGACCTATGACAATGGAGAAGCTCATTTTGTTTTTTCCTTTCACACCATTTAGGCTGATTAATGTTTTGAAATTATTGAGAAGAAAGTTCTTAGAGTAAAAGCAAATGTTTTTCCTAACTTCAGGTGAAGTGAAACTTCTTTTGTCCTCTGAGACACCCATTGAGGGAAAGAAAATGTCCTTTGTGAATGATTTGACCATCACTCGGGATGGGAGGAAGATTTATTTTACAGATTCCAGCAGTAAATGGCAAAGACGGGATTATCTGCTTCTGGTCATGGAGGGTACTGATGATGGGCGGTGAGTGTTCACTTCAGTCTTCCCCTAAGTTAGCTAATCAGCCAGGCGTGGTAGCTTCATCAGAACTCATTACTTCTAGGAGCCATATGAGTGTTTCTGAGCAAAATATTTCTGCTTGTAGGAATGGCTTTTAGAATCGAGTGATGGAGCTATCATTTCCTCTTTGAGGAACTAAAATGAAATTTTTTGACCAGTCCATCCAAGGGGGTGGGTCTAGACAGACTGGTAAAGTACCAGAGCAGGCCTGCATTTCCGGCTACTCCTCAGAAGGGAGACTCCTATGACTGGAGTGTTGGTGTTTCTAGTGCTGACCCAGCTCTTAGGTCAGTGAATTAATCGATTGTGGGGTTCTCTGGAAGAGGCTGCTGTGGATCTGCTGTGGATGGGGAAAGGCCCCCACTGGCTAGCCTTAGACAAGGTTTAAGCAGAGGACCCCAAGGCCTGGTCACTCCAGTGGGAGGCTGAGTCACCTTCTAGAGCTCATGCTCCAGAGGCCCAGAATAGGAAGGAAAGCTCTAAGCCCACTGAAGGCCATGGACTCTTATCTGTGTGACCCTTCATTTTTGATCTCCACAGCCTGCTAGAGTATGATACTGTGACCAAGGAAGTGAAAGTTCTTTTGGACCAGTTGCGATTCCCTAATGGAGTCCAGCTTTCTCCTGAGGAAGATTTTGTCCTGGTAGCAGAAACAACCATGGCAAGGATACGAAGGTGTGTATGTGTTAACTGAACTATCAGTTGTTGAGCAGAGCTCACCATAGCCTGGGATAGGGTGGAAATGTGGTTGACATAACTCTGAGACGCAGCAGAGCACCTCTCCCTTTTGTAATAATGGTAAAAGTATATGATAAAATATTGAACATTGTTAGCAGTTAGGGAAATGCACATTAAAACTGTACTGAGATTTCATCTTATACTAGTCAAAATGGCAGTCATCAAGAATACAAATAATAATAAATGCTGGAGAGAAAGTGGAGAAAAAGGAAAACTTTTATACTGTTGGTGGTTTTGTAAATTAGTATAACCACCATGGAAATCGGTATGGAAGTTCCTTGAAAGACTAGGAATGGAACCACCATATGGCCTGGCTATACCACTTCTCAATATTTATCCTAAAGAATTAAAGTCAGCGTGCTATAGTGATACATGCATACCCATGTTTATAGCAGCACAGTTCACAGTAGCCAAATTATGGAACCAGTGTAAGTGTCTGTCAATAGATGAATGACAGACATGGTAGATATACACAATAGAGTTTTATTCTGCCATAAAGAAAAATGAAATTATATCATTTGCAGGAAAATGGATGAACATGAGAATATTATGTTAAGCAAAACAAGCCAAACTCATAAAGTTAGGGGTCATGTTTTTTTTTGCTATGTGTATGCTAGGGAGGAAAAAGGAAAAGAAAAGTGTGTGTAGGAGAAAAGCAAGGGGAGATTAGTAGAGGAAAGGGACCAGGGAGTAAGCAGTAGGGGAGTGGGGAAAATATTTGGGAATATTGGCTAAAGTATATTGTTATATTGTGTTCATATACTAATGTGTGACAACAGAATCCACCATTATGTATAATGTGCCAATAAAAAATAAGGAGAGAAACAAAGAATTAAAGTCAGCATACTATGGTGATGTATAAATTCCTACATTTATAGGAGCACAGTTCACATTAGCTAGACTATGGAACCAGCCTAGGTGTCCATCAATGAATGAATGGATAAAGAAAATGTGGTATTTATACACAATAGAGTTTTATTCACCTGTAAAGAGTGAAACTATGTCATTTGCAGGAAAATGGATGGAACTTGAGAACATTTTGTTAATCAAAGTAAGCCAAACTCACAAAGTCAGGAGTTGTATGTTTTATCTCAAACATGGAAGCTATAGAAGAAAAAGGAAAAGAAAGTTTGGCAGGGGTGGAGGGAATCTAATGAAAATTGTAGGGAGATCAGTAGAGAAAAGGGGCTGGGGTAGGGAGGAGGGTAGAGAAAAGGGAAGTACTAGGGAATGATATTGGCCGAATTATATTATTTATTTTGTGTACATGTATGAATGTATAACAGTGGATTCCACTATTATATTCAACTCTAATGAACAGCAACAACAAGAAAATAATATGGACATAAATGGTAAAAGCAAAGTTCAAGGATAGGTTTCCTTCCTTCCCTTTCTTATTCTTTTGGGGAGTTGCAAGTCTGAAAAAGTATCTTGATTTAATGCTATTGCACAGCTTGTTTTCCATTTCTCTGCCAGGTGGGCCTTAGTCCCCTCAACACCACCTATTCATGCTGCTCTGGGGCCCTTGACGATGTCCTCATGGCAGCTGTGCTTGTGTGCATGTTGTATACATTTACAGTAGTTTCCATAATTGTTTTTGGACCAAGACCAGTTTGGTAAAATTTTTTTTTTTTCTCAGATTGGAGGGCTACTACTCACTGCCTGCTTGGGTAAATTTTTCAGGGTCTATGTATCTGGTTTGATGAAAGGAGGGGCTGATATGTTTGTGGAGAACATGCCTGGATTTCCTGACAACATCCGACCCAGCAGTTCCGGGGGGTACTGGGTCGCCATGTCAACCATTCGCCCTAATCCTGGGTTTTCCATGTTGGATTTCTTATCTGAGAGACCCTATATTAAAAGAATCATTTTTAAGGTAACTATCAAAACTATAATTCTTTAAAAAAAGTAAATTAATCTAATTATGATCTCTTCTAGTTCTGCTTATAATATTTGGTACCCTTTAATGATGACTTACAAGCCCACTTTATTCTTCATCCTGACATATAAATTTAAACATTTGAATCTTTTTTGATTCTCTGCCCTCTTCTGGTTTCTCTGTTTCTGTTTTTTTTTTTTTTTTTGTCACCCATCATTATGATTTCTGGGGCCTCCACCTTGCCTGTCAGTTTCATTCTTTTCTCTTTGCTATGGCTGTTTCCAACTGTCTCCACTCTTCTCCAGACCCTGTGACTTTGCCCTACACCCACCCCCCTTGTCTTTTCCTCCACAGAGTTATCAGGTACCTTCCTCTTCTTCCTGTGGCCACACATATAAACTCACCTCCATACCACCCACTCTGTCCTGTTATCTCCATAGGTTTCTGCCCTATGACCTCTTAACATACCAAACTCTTTCCCATTAAAACAAAATCATCCATCCCCACCAATGGCTAGCCACAACCCATTCAACATGGCCATATCAGTGGTTATAATGTTATTATCATTTATCTCTATGTTCTTGTATCATCCTAGAGTTTTCCTAGTGCCTATTTTTTTATGTTCTTGAATCATCCTACAGTTTTTCTAGTGCCTTTTATGAAATACCCTGAATCATAGCTCAGCACATTTGCACAGTGGGGGAATAACTTGCTGACAGGTGCTTCTTTAATGCAAGTTGAATAGGTATTTGAAATTGATATCAAATATTTGTAACTTAGAGTCCTGGAGGTGGCAGGCAGCAGTTATTCAGCCCACTGTATTGGGTTGTGTATGTGGGCTCACATTCTTGGTCAGGTTGGCCCCTGGCCTTCAGTGGTCTTCATTTGAGCCATAATTCCCCTTACCCATGATGTCTCCTCTTACTCATTTTTCACCCACTGGAGCTGAGTATGGTTTATGCTCAATTTCTGTCTGTGTTCCTATAGCCAGAATGAGATAGTCATATGTTCTTTCTTGGGGATGAAGATTGTGTCTCTTTTCCTCAACTAGAACATTCTATTTTTTTAGTTTTGAGAAAATATTAAAGTTATAACAAATGAGTAGATAGGGGACAAAGAATTTTTTTTCCATGAACCAATTGCAAATAAGTTGCTGACCTGGTGCTCCTGGTGCTCTCAGATACTAGGAAGTTTTCTTCCTGTAAGGACTTTGTCTTTTATTACCAACAACCAAACCTAGGAAACTCACATGGATACCTTACTAACCCACAGGCTGCACTCAGGTTTTGCCAGTTGTCCTAATGTCCTTAATTACAAAAGGATTCAACCCAGAATCAAGCATGGCCTTTATTTGCCATGTGTCTTTATTCTCCTTCAGTCTGGAGTAATTCCTGTCTTGTTTTGACTTTTTGACCTTGACCTTTTAGAAGCTTAGAGGTCAGTTATGTTGCAGAATGTCCCTCCATATGGATTAGTGTAGTGTTTTCTCATGATTCAATTCAGGTTCTGTGTCACTGGCAGGTGTAGCATGGAAGTGCGACAGTCAAAGGGTATGTGATATTTTTTGTCTCATTAGCAGTGGTGGCAGTTTTGATCACCTGATTCTGGTGATCAAATGCCAGGTCTCTCAGTTGTAAAGTCATTCTTTGTCCATTTATAATTAATAATCAGTGCTATCCCATGGCTTCCCATTTTATCAGTGGTTATAATGTTTTTATCATTATTTATCTTGATGTTCATATTGTCCATCTGTGGCCAGTGGAAGTCCCTTCAGTGTGGCTCCTGTACCTCTGGACACATTCCTTTCATTCTTGGACCATTTTGTCACTGTCACACAGGTTGTTTCAGGAACATGTATTTTCCCTGCCCCGCATCTAGAATTGGCCATTTCTCTAATGAACCATGGTTCCTTCTGGAGGTCTGGATGGTTCACTTGTTGCTTTTGGATGTCCCTGTTTTCTGGCCTCCTCAAAGGACAAAGCTCAGGAATATGTACTTACATCTATGTTAATTTGTCATCTGTTTAAACCGAACACAGCTGTTCATGCAGGTATATCCAATTTCAGTCCAACACCACAGGATTAATTCTAGTTTTCTCTCTTTATTTCTTTCATTATTTATACCTCTCTAACAATGAAATGTCTAGATACCATTATCCTTCATATATTTACCAGTTTAATCAGTTCCCCCAAATGTAACCAGTTCCCCCAAATATAGCCATAGTCCATCTCTCATATGGCCTTTGTTGGGGCTCTCGATTGCCACACTGGGCCAGCTCTTCTTTCTGACTGCCTGCAGGAGCTTGTGTTTTTATTCAAGGGCTCTGATACCCTGTACCAATCTGTCCCTGGTGAACACTCTTCTTACTCTCTTTTGCCAGGCCACTTGGTTGCAGGGACATCCCCTTACTCTGTCTGTGCTCTGACAACCTGTGCTAGGCCACTATAATCTCCTTGTCCTCTGTATGCACCTACCTGCTCAGCCACACTAGGGGCTTCTTGACTGAATTTTTCAGGTAGAGAAATGACATAGGACAGAGAATGTCTTAGGAAGGTAACTACAGCTATGACTTGAGTGGCCATGGGGGACCTGAGGTGAAGGCTGGTGGTCAGGGAGAGGTAGTGGCAGGGCCCAGGGTTGGGGTGGCATAAACATAGGTTGTATTGCAAGACTCTGAGGTGGTCAGGTGTTATAGTTTAGATGTGGGACATCCGCCAAAAGCTCTTGTTAACGCAGTGATATTGAGAGGTGAAATGATTAAATTGTGAGAGTTATAACAATTAGTCCATCCTAGTTTGAATGGACTGACTGGGTTTTAACTGTAGGAAGGTGGGGGCATTGACTGGATGAGTTAGATGCCCTGAAAGGGTGCATCTTCCCTGTGGCCTCTTCCCCTGCCCCTTTCTTGCTCCCTGCTTCCTGGCTACCATCAGGGAAGCAATGGTGTTGTCTGTCTGTAAACTGAGGCCTTTGAAACTATGAACCCCAAATAAACTTTTACTCTTCTGAGTTGTTCTTGGGTATTTTGGTCACAGCCATGAAAAAGCTTACTAAAATACAAGACTTGTAGAGCATGGAAGGACAGGGATCAAGGGTAAGGGTTAGGTTTTTGGCTTTAACAACGGGTGTGAAGGCCTGTCTCCAGAGCCAGGGACTCTGTCAAAGTTGAAGTACTGTTGTGAGGTCCAGGTAGAGTTGAATACAGGCAGCCAGGGAATTAACACTGGTTTGGACATAGAGGTGGAGATTTGAGAGGTTTCTGGAAGAATAACTAGTTGAAACGAGAGAGGGTGAGATCTTTTGGAATAAGATGGAAAGAGAAGAGAGGGAAAGATACATGACTAGACAGTGGGAGGGGTGTTCCATGGTGGAAAGCCCCTATGGAGGAAAGCAACTTTGATCCATTGCTGTTGAACCTTCTAGAGCTAAGTTGACTTGAATGTCTTCTTAAACATTTTCAGTGACTGGGAGACTTTATCCCCAGGACAGTTGCAATTGTTTAGGTATTTTCACCTGAATTAATCTTTCTATTAACTTCTAGACACTGCTCTTATGCAGCTAAGTATTTTGTTGTAATTACCTACCTGAGGTCCTTCTGCTTGGTCAGAAATTCTCTCTCCCCAGTGATTTCCCTGCTTAAAACTCTTCGTCAGCCCCATGTTGCTCACAGAATCCAAGTCTAATAAGCCCCTTGGCTAGGCATGCCCAGGAGATGTCAGAAGTGCCCTTCTCAGTATCATGTGCCAGGTGGTACCCTCAGGCTCTGTGTGCTAGCTTCAAGAAAAGTTGAAGAATTGGCTTTAGAGGTGTGTGGTGTGTGGACTTGCTTACTTAACTTACTTAACTCCCAGGCTCTTTTTGAATGTGAATTGCTCTTCAATCTCCATTATGTATACACTGTATGTCTGAAATACTTTAATCAGGATTTGTGTATTCTGGTTAACTTGTTCTGGGTTTGACCGAGTGTTCTGGTGGGTGAGGTCATTCTCAGCTTTGGCTATAGTGTGTTTCTCTATGATCATCTGCACTGTTCTCATGCTGGCTTGTCCTCCTTTGCCTGATCTGCAAGGGGCATGGGGCCACTCTTAGCTCTATGCTATGGGGCTTCCTTGAGGAACCTGACCATTCTTAGTTGGCAAGGGGCAATCTTGTAGTCAGAATGTAAGCTCTCCTTGCACTGTGCTTCCCTTCCAGCTGTTTAGTCAGGAGACGGTGATGAAGTTTGTGCCACGGTACAGCCTCGTGTTAGAACTCAGTGACAGTGGTGCCTTCCGGAGAAGCCTGCATGATCCTGATGGGCTGGTGGCCACCTACATCAGTGAGGTACATGAACATGATGGGCACCTGTACCTGGGCTCCTTCAGGTCCCCCTTCATCTGCAGACTCAGCCTTCAATCTGTTTAGTCAGCCCAGCAGCTCACCATGTGCACTAAGAGTCATTATACTCGGCCATCATACCTGATCCAGGAGGAGCTATGGACACAGTTCTGACCCCATGTACCTATCGGTCCTCGGAGGTGTGATAGGAATGGCTACTGTAACCTTGAGAATGTGTAGGCCCCCAAGGGGCACCCATCACCTGGGCCTGACTTCATCTTTAGAGGAAAGCATAAAATATCTGCTATGGAGAAGATAAATTCATGTGAAGCTATTTCCCTTAAAAGAAAGAAAGAAAGAAAAAAAAAAGCTTTCTGAGTACAGTAATTCTCCAGAACTTGGGGAAACTTCATGCATTTTTAACAGGGCTCAGGGTTTGTTCTGCTGGCCTCAGTATCTTTATACTCTTATGGGTTTTTTTTTTTTTTTGGTGGGGGATGTTGGTACAGGAGAACAGGGGTACACAGTAGAAATATACTGAGGCTAGCCAGCAAAAGCTGTGTGAACTGTGACTTTAGACTGTTTCTCAGGAGCTATGTGGGACAAGGGCCCTTGGTCCCTGAGCATTCCCTCCATAGTGGAGGGGTATCTTCCTACCTTCCACCTGCTGTGGCCTGGCCTTCCTTCATGCTGGAAGTTTTCAAGACCTTGAGTAAGCATGTAGGAAAAGTAGGCTGATTCCAGTGCAAGAAGACTTCCTGGGGTTTCTTTCTGTGAATACTTATGCTGCTGGAATTGGACAATCCAGTAGTTTAGTACTTACTGCAGGGGTGTGTTTAGGAACATCCTTTTTTTTCACCTCTAGACTCACAGATATAAATAGTGCATATGTTGATGTCATATTTGTGCTAGTGTTATAAGCCCCAAGTTGCTGTGTATCTTGAGAAGTCTATACACTGGTCTTAATTTTGATAATAATAAATAATATAAAATCCACTTTTCTGTTGATTAACTTTTTGAAGATGTGGACTGGGAGTTTCTTATGTACTTATTTTAAATGACTGAAATTTAATTCCATCAAGTGTTGATATGAGGATCGTCTCGGTAAGAGTTGTTTTAGGGCCAAACATCCTATCTAGTTGGCTCTGAAGGGAAGTCATGGAGCCTCTGATGACACCAACCTTCTTCAGCCATCTGTCTCCTTGATTCTTTTTTTTTTTTTTTTTTCAGTGCTGGGGAGGGAACCCAGGACCTTTCACATGTTAGGCAGGTACTCAACCACTTAGCTACATTCCACCCTTGTTGATTAATTTTTTGATAGATTGATATTATACTTCTTTCCTGTTTTCTAGCCTACAGCTGTTCCTTTCTTTCCTGGTGTTTGTGAGAATGCACAAGAGATTGTATCTCTAGAAGCATCTGAAAAACTTGACAGATAATATTTTAAACAGGCTATGATATAAAAATATAAAGAATATAAAGAGCCCTCATGTTAGTGGAGGTACCAATGGTTTGATAAGGAGTTAATCTTGATTAATCTGCTGTGTCACCTCCGCTGGACTGACTTTATGTGGAATAAAGTGACAGTAGACTAGATGCAAAGATTGGCTCCAGTCCAACTGATACAATCTGTATTTAATCAAATGAACAACAATTAATATTGTTTATTTGCTTTTATAGGAAAGAAAATTGAGTAGTCATTATTAATTACTTTTTTGAGGATACTGGGGACTGAACCTAGGCATGCTGTACCACCAAGATATACTCCCAGCCCTTTTTATTTTTTGAAATAAGGTCTTGCTAAGTTGCTTAGGCTGGCCTTGAACTTGTGATCCTCTTGTCTCAGCCTCCTGAGTACCTGGGATTACAGATGTGTGCCACTATACCTGGCTATTAAATACTTTTAAACAGCTAATGATGGGACATATCATGTACAAAAGAATAATAAGGTAATGCCTAATCACTGTGTCATAAAAACAATTTAAATGTGCTGGGCCTGTATGCTGACTTCTCCGTTGTTTGAGAATAGAGAACTTTGTGCTTAATGCTTAGTTCTCAAAGTTGCAAAGAAGCTGGTAAATTGTTTTTCACAGTTTTCAGTAAAGGAGTCTTGATTTTGACTCAGGTGTTGATTTTCTGTCTCCAGGTGTCATTTCCTGTGTTTTATGTGGTAATTTGGCATGAGAAGGTGAAAAAGATAGTCTTCTTTTTAGGCTTAAATATGTGACATGCTTCTGCTGGTAAACATAAAAGGGACTTACTCTAGTGTGAATTATTAACATGTTTTAAAAATCAACCAAGTGATTCATTGGTTGCCTCTATTATCTATCACAAAAACTCTATCAGGATTCAGTTATTAACTTTCATAGGAATGAAATTCCTTTTGAGTTTTTTTTTTTTTTCTTTTTTTTCACATGTGGTGCTTGGGACCTTACACATGCCTATGCTAGGCAAGCACTCTACCATTATAGTTGGGTTGCATCCCCAAACCCCTTTCTTTTACTATCAGCATATACTTGCAGAGTGGTGTACAGTCTTGGAAGTTTTTCATATACACTGACTTTTGTTATTTGATTTTCTTTTGAGACAGAGTTCAACTGTGTCACTTAGACTGGCCTGGAACTCCTGTGCTCAAGCCATCCTCCTGCCTCAGCCTCCCAGGTAGCTGGGATGACAGGTGTGCATGTCACATCTGGCTGCCGTACACTAACTTTTAATGAGGCAAGGATATGTGGTCTCATTGTACAGATGGGAACTGATTCTCCAAGAGTCAGTGACTGCCCAGAGTCATAGCCAGAAGGCAGCTGAGCTGGAGACTCCTGTGCCATGATTGAGGCACTTTGAGGCTGGACTGGAGACAGGTGACCTTCCCAGTGTCTGATTGTGCAGTGGCCACTGCTGTAGCCTATGGGTTGTGGTGGGGCTCGGGCTCTAACTTTGGTGGCACATCAGAATTCTCTGGGTTGCCAGGTCTTGGGGTGGACTGGGTACCGTTGTGGTTTGAAGCTTCACAGGTAGTTTCCATGAGCAGTGGTGGGGCGTTAATCACAGCCTAGAACCATCTGCTACCTGCAGGGGAAGCTAAACTAAGCAGGAGTCTGAAGGTGAGAATAGAGAACTTTGATCCATGTGGCTGTGGATCTGGCTCCTTAGGAGTGTGCACAGCTGGCAAGGAGTGTGCAGCAGTTTGGGGAAGACTACAGAACACTCAGGGCTGTCAGGATTTTGACTGGTTTTGGGCAGTTTAAGACCTTGAACAAAAGTTCTTTTCTTTTTTTTTGGTCATAATCCTGATTGATCTTAGAAGCCTGGGTACTTAACCTTACCTTTTCTCAGTGATAGTAACATTAGATGATGGAACCACTTGCTTTTAGTGTCAGAATAAATCCCTTTGTGTAAGGGTCAAGCTGAAAAATTATAAAAGTGGGCAAAACTGGATTGGTAGCCTGGGATTTCAGGTCATCCAGGTTGACATTCACTCCCATCTCCATGTGGATGTTTTATTTCACGCTTTGTTCAGATCTACCACAGCTGTCTTTGGCAGCAGGAACAATGTGTCTTCAGGGACATAGTTGGTATGTGTGTCTCTGATAATGCTAAGGCATGTTGGCAGTTGGCTTCCAGAAGTCAAGGTTGCATGGGCCTGCTAAGTGTCTTTCCTTATGGCATTAGCACGGCTGGTCTAAGGGGGAACATATTATTCAGTAACATATGAAATGAAACAAATTGTAAATAACTGAAATTGTGGTGTATTATAGATAAAGCCTTCCCTTGGAGTACAGGCCCACAGAGAGACTTTCCAGAAGATTGAAATGTGGTGTGGGCGGCACAGGCCTCATAGACCTGTGACGGGGCTGGTTTGCCTTAGTTATAAGAGATGGGAATAGACTCGCTATTCAAATGGTGTACTGAAAGTCTCTGGTATAGGTTAGTGTTCAAACCTGGGAATGTAAGGTCAGGATCTGAGGCTTCCTTCTTCCAGGGGTGAAGCTGCTGCAGGGGTTGGTAGGGACTCTTGCCTGAGGGAGCCCTGGCTAGGACAGAAGAGCTCAGCTACAGCTCATGAACATGGGCCCCCCTTCCTCACACCTGAACATACCCATGCTCACTCTGACACCTGGGAGGCAGGAGAGGCAGGGAGCCTGACCTTGATGCACCCTGGGTCTATACTTGTGTAAATGAGATGGACTGAGAAGTAAGGGTATAGGGCACCTTCATCTATTGCTTCAACTTGCAAAAGTCACCCAGGGTCTGGCTCAGCTGTGTCCTGATGTCCCTCTGGCTCCTCCAATCTGTGACTCCCTGCCTGGTTGTGTGCAGGGTCAACAGGGCCTTTTATGGAAGGATTGCTTTCAAGGGCCTTAGGAATCACCAAATAAAGTAAATGTCTTATGTCATTGCTGCCACCACTATCCCTGAATTAAATGGCTAGAAGATGAGTCAAGGCAGTAAAAACAAAGGAACATTTGGAATTTTGTTTACTTATATATCACTGAAAAAAACCAAAGGGTAATTTATTTTTGTGTTACATTGATTGCATTTATGGTGGAGAGCCATAAATTGCCTATTGGATGCATGTTTTCTTTCCTAGAGATTATCAAATCCATGTTTCTTCAAGGTGCCAGCATGCCTTCTGCTAACAGTGTACACCCTACTTTACATGTAGTCACTTTAAAGAGAGTTTGGAGAGGAAAAAGCCCACAGTGAATGGGCCTTGCTGGTGCAGGGACCTATGGTCACCTTCCTTTGAATGAAGGCTCAGAGAACCAGGCTACCAACCAGCTCCTAGGCTTCCCACTATGATCCAGCTCCATAATTCTAGATCAAGCTGAAGATCTGTCTTTCCCTAGGATCTGGTGGTCTGCAGCCTGTAATTTCCTCTTTCTTTTCTTATGCCCCTGTACAACCTGTCCCTGGATGGCTTTGTTCCACCATTGCCCCACCCTACATGCCCAAGCACTTCTGTGCTCCTGCTAAGCTGTTCCAAATAGGCCTCAAAGGCAGCAGAGAACTCAGGTGAAGGCCTGACCCTGAAGAAACCTGGCTGGAGGGCAGGCTCTCCCAACCTCTCTATAGGGTCACCTTGCCCTGTCTGTTCACCATGTTGACAGGCTTCCCTGTTTCTAGTTGCTCCGACTTTACATTTTAATTAGCAGCTAATTGCTGGACAAGCCTCTGAGAAACTTTATGGAAGCAACCTAAACTTGCCAGACCACACAATGAAAAGGACTCCTGGCACTGCTCTCCTCATCTTCCTGACTTTGCTACTAAAAGGTGACACACAGAGCCATTGCACTGGAATGATCAGTCTTTTATTAATAACTTTAATCATCCTCAGAGATCAAGTGATCAGTAGCACACTTGTCCCAGATCTAGTGCTATAATGCTAATAACTGAAACCAAGAGATGGATGCCTTGACTCTCCATCGGGTGAGGGATGGGAGAGAGTACCCTGTCCTCCCCTTCAGGTCAGCCTACATCTGTCTGTCCCCAACCCCAATGAGGCCCATCAAAAGACTCAGACCCATACAGGTTCAGACCCTCTATCTGAGAGTACAGCATCAATAAAGTTACAGAAGGAAATGTGATATATTTAATCTGGCCATGATGAACTGTCATTTTCCCACTCCAGCTACTCTGTAATGACCCATTAGCACTTCCATCTGCCTACACATGAGAAGGTCCTTAAAGGTTTGTATCAGCTGGGCACAGTGCTGGGGCTGAAGGAAACGAAGAGCACAAGTATGGTGGGTGTCCTTACAGCCAAAGTTTTGCTGAAGAGGCAGGCGAAAGTCAGGCAGAACTCAGGCGAAAGTCAGAACTCACTGGCAACGAATAATAGGCACCTCGAACCTTCGGAGCCAGGGGATGACCCAAACTTCAGTATAGCAACTCAGAATCTGAAAAAACAAAGGCTCACCTAAGGACCCCCGAATGCCTCAGAGGACCCTCCCCACCAAAGGACTCTCCTGGCACACTTTGATACCACACCTGGGCCACTAAGGTGTTGTGTATGTGTGTATGTGTGTGCATGGGTGTGTTCCTCACTGAAGAGGTATCCCTTGCTCCCATTTTTATTTGGAAAATTTTCAAAGAAAATTGAAAGAATGATTTAAGAATATGTACTTTTCACCTATATTTATGAATTATTGAGTTTTGCCACATTTGCTTTCTCTTTGCAAAGGGAGATATTATATATCATTATATCATATATCATGCTATATATCTGTCATAACATGATATATATCATACCATATATAATATATAGATCATATGACATGTCATACTATGTATAATACACACACACATATGTAATTTCTGAATTATATGGAAGTTTTTCCTGCTCTAATCTCCCTACCCTGATTCCAGGCATTTCTCTCCTGAGATGTGTCTTTCATGGAGGGAAGAACAGGTCATGTAGGGGGGTGTTGGAGAGGATGTTGTTGCCTCGCACTCTCCATGTGTGTCTGTGCGTTGTGCTTGACCTCTTCTGGACTGAGGTTTGGAAGTGTGTGGTCAGGGAACTGATCAGGTCAGAGAAGCAGCCCCAGCCCTGAAGGATGAGTGGAGCAGTTAAGGAGGGCTAGGCTGAGAGGGCAGCCCCTCTTCCTTACACGCTTCAAGTCAGGGTTGGTTTGGAAGTCACAATTGTCCAGGGGATGGTGTGTGGTTTTTCTGCATGTAGTTCTGCCGATTTCCACCTCCAGCATGTATTTCAGGCCTTTCACTACCTGGAAAGAATAAAGGGATAGGGTCCTGGGTTATTGGGCACAGGCTGGCTAGGATGGCAGCCCCTCTGCTAGCAAGAGGTGCATTAAGATAGGTGAAGAAGGCTCTGGGCAGTGAGCTGGCTTCCCAGAGCCACCTCTGGGTGAAGGAAAGCCCAGGACTTTGCAGAAGAACTAATGGGGAGGAAGCCGGTGCCTAGATTCCCCTGACTCCCTTTCCCATGCTTACTCACAAGGCTGACTGACAAGGACTTGAGGACTTTGTCTCCCATTTTAAGATGGCTCCTTTCTGCTCAGAACTCTGTATTCAAGAGGGATTCCAGGCTGGGATTGCCCCATCCCACAGCCCCTATGCACCCAAGGTGGTGTTTGAATAAAGGACACACCTGCTGAGTTTTAGACATCTGCTAGCATCCTTCCCTGTTTCTGGGAATGGTGTGTTTTGTTTTATTTTAGATTTCAAAATAACCCTTCTCCATTTAGACATAGTCATGATCTATTTCATTTTATTCTTTTTTGTTCTAAGAAAATTTGAATAAAATTTCCTCAAGTTTTAATCTCTGGCCTACCAAATACCAAATGAAATAAAATCTCCAGCATCACCAAGGTACAGAAGGACAGTGTCCTTACCCTGTCATGGAGGACTTTGGGGACTCAAGTCCAAAGCATTGCACTGACCTTCCTGGGGAAGGCAAGACCCAAGGCTCCTGAGACTGAGCCTTGGAGTGATGACATTGGCACAAACCAAACTGTCTTCTATAGAATGTTTCCTAATATCAGAACACAACTGCTCTTACAAAATTTGCAGTTTGGGTCTGGGGTTGTGGCCCAGTGGTAGAGCATTTGCCTATATGTGTGAGGCACTGGGTTTGATTCTCAGCACCATATATAAATAAATAAAAAACAAAGGCCCTTAAACTGCTAAAAATACATTTTAAAAATGTTGCAGTTGCCCAAAAGCATAAGATTATAAAAGTCACCACTAACCCTGTGGTTACTGAGTCAGTAACCAAAAGTGAAGTGAAGACCATCTGCTTTAGGATAGGGCCACTCCCATGTCACTTCTGTCCCTCCAGGCACCAGGGCAAGCTGGGTGTGTGGACGTCATCTGAAACCAACTTCCTACATCAGCAGATGTGTCCTTAGAGACCACCAGGTAATCCACCTCCTGAAGGTGTCTCCTTGTAGTGGCACTCCCTCCTCCACAGAAAATCTTAATTAAGCTTCTCCAGAGACCCTCACCATAACTATTCTTAGACCATCAGCAAGAATTTCTGCAACAGATTTTTCAAGCAGGAGGTGTGTTGCAGAAGGAGGATGTGATAAGAAAGACTAATAACCCAAGGCCTCCACAGAGGCGTTTGCATTTTTGTATTCAGGCCTGGGTTCAATGCCTAGAACAGTGAAAAAAGCTGCTTTTGTGTGGACTTCTACATATTGTGAACCTCTGAGCCCCTCCCCCTACACACTGGGTATACAGTTCTGAAAATCTCTGAACTCGGGGTTCAGAGGGATTGATGGACTGTGGTGAAAGCCCCCATTCTGAACCTGGCTGCAGCCAATGAACCTGCTTCCTTTCTCTGCCTCAGTGTCTAGCCTCGTCTGTCCCACAACATCCTCACTATTCTACTTCCCATCATCCATGCTGGTCATGTATTCTTAGGACACAGATGAACAAGGCTGACAGTGCCCCTTGGGCTCCTGAGGAAGGAGGAACAGCACTGAGCAGGCACAGCAGGTTACTAAGAAGAGTGATGGCCTTACAGGATATGACATTGAGCAGGCTGATTGGCATACAAGTTTTGTGAGTCAGAGAGGGAGTGACTTGGGCATAGCTGTGTGATCTGAATGTATATTCCATGTGAATGGTGAGAAGGTCTTTGGGGCTGCAGGAGGGGCTAAAGCTAGGACAGGGGTCCTGGGACTCTGGTGGGGGTAGCTCCAACAGGTAAAGCAGTGACCTGCTCTGCAGGAGTGTCAGGCCTAGCATGCTACTCTAGGAGTGGGGTTATTGCCTCTGCACCCCTTAGTCCCATTAATGGGCTTTAGGCCAGCGGCCTGGTGACCACCCAAGGGAAGTGTGGTTTGAACAAGCAAAGGACCTTGGGTTTTTGTGTTTGGCTGTGAGTCACACTGGTTTTGATTGCCGCCATCAGCTTCCTGTCCTTGTATATGTTCTAGGTGGTGGGTTGCTGTCTCTCGGTTTCCCAGGGGTGTATCTGATAATGGGGCCACCAGAACCTAGACCTTCACCTGTACCAGCGCTCGGCTAATGTAGGACTCCTTGAACAAGAAGATGTCATTTGTGCAGTTGTTAAACTTTTCCACACTGTGTCTGGCAGCTTTGAGGACTCCTGGGTCATCAGTCTTTATTGTTTTGGGAAATCCTGGCTTCACACCTGAGTTAAAGTCCTGTGAACAGAAATCTGAAAGAGAGAAACACAGTACCAGATGGGAACATTGATGGTGGCAGGGTACATGATCCAAGGGGTGATGCCTCATGCCTTGGGTCGCTTAGTTATTCTCTCTGCCTCATGGCCCTCAGCCCTGATTATCCCCTGATCCATCTACCCATGCTCACCCCACCATGCACTTGTGTATCCATATGTCTGCTGAACATCCAAAGCTCCTCAGCTAGATAGTGCTGAAGGTATGATGTAATCCCTATCTGTTATGGTTTTGATCTGAGGTGTTCCCCAAAAGCTTCTATATTAATACAAAAATGTTCAGATGCGAAATGATTGGATTGTGAGAGCTGTAACCTCATCAGTCCATCCTAGTTCAAATGGACTAGATGGTAACTGTAGGCAGGTGGGGCATGGCTAGAGGAGGTGGGTCACTGGGGGCATACCCTGGGAGGGCTCATCATCCCTGCTGCCCCTTCTTTTTGCTCTCTCTGCTTCCTGACCCCACCATGAGCTGAGAAGTTCTCCTCCACTGTTCCATTCCTCCACGATGTACTGCCTCACCTAGGTCCTAGAGCAATGGAATCAGCCGTCTATGGACTGAAACTTCTAAAATTGTGAGTCCCAAATAAACTTCTCCTCTTAAGTTGTTCTTGTTGGGTGTTTTGGTCACAGCAACATAAAAGCTCACTAAAACACTGTCCAGTCCCCCACCATATAGAACATTTTTAGGACCCAGGGGAATTTCCAACATGTATATTAAAGAAATACTGAACATGCCTCCCCAGTGGTGAGACATCTGGACAGGATGTGGTCTTAGGGTGTTAGAAGAAGCTGGCCCTGCCTGCCCCTCACCCTACCACTTCCAGCTTGTCTCAGCCAAGTGGATCACATGGACTGTTCAACCCAGTCCTGCCTCTCCACTGGTAAGGAGGCTGGTTGCCCTGGCTTCAACCACCCTCCTCTTGCATTCTTGGCAGAACATCTGATCTCAGACTCTGGTTGGAGCCCACCCTAGCTCTCCAATTCCTACAGCTCCAGCACTGATGTCTCTCCTAGACTGTCCCCTGAGGTTCTCTGGGTACAAGTCTGGGTATAAGTCTTTACTTTCCTAGGAATGAATGCCATTCTTCAGGGATCCACTCAAGCCTGGCATGTAGTCAGTGAAGGATGGTAGGTGGGCTGGATTGATTCTACTTTCTCTTGCTCTTCCTGTATCAGGAAGCCCATATTTGGCCGGAATATGAGGAAAGTAACATGAAGGGCTTCTGTCACCAGCATCTGTGCCAAAGCCAGGCAGAACAGAGGACCCCAACATCCCTCCTTGGCTCCCAAACTCTTATGCTTCTAGTTCCTAGAGAAGTGGAGCTCGCAGACTGGAAGGATCCCTGAGGACCCTGCTCAAGTCCAGCTTGCCATTCATTCCTTTGTTCAACTTGTTCATAGGCACTTGTAGCACCTGCTTTCTGTGCCTTCCTCTTCCTGCCAGCTCTGGGAACTGGAGATGCAGAAGTTTAATGCTCTACAAGTAAACGAGATCAACAACAGAGCGACAAGACATTTAAGGCAGGGGAATGAGGAGTGCAGGGGCCTGTCTGTGAGGATACTGGGTCAGTGGGTTGCATCCGTATTCAGAGATTAGGGAGCCATGGCAGGCAGCTGTGAGTTGGGGTTTTAGTAGCTTGATGTGGACTGACATAACCCATTTTCTAAAAATCAAACATATTGCTACAGTAGCTAGAAGAAAAATCCTACTCCATCAATCCACAGATCCTTCGCAAAAAAGAAAAAGAAAAAGCAAACAAACAAAAAAACCACTTAGAGTGTGAAATAGAACAAAATATGTAGGCCAGGACCTAGGAGACTAGGGATGCTGGACTGAGGGGAGGATTAGGGGTAAAGCAGAGCCAGATGCAGGTGTTTGATTTTATGAAAGAAATATGACTCTAAAGAAGCCACAGAGGCTCCATACTGCAAAAAGTGGATAAGGACCTTTTCTGGTTGACGGTTAGAGTGTCTTGAATATTACTCCCCTCTCAAAAAAAAAAAAAAAAAAAAAAAAAAGAGAACAAAGGAGAATAAAAGATTAGAGGAAGAGGGGAAGGGGGAGAAGAGGGGAGGGGGGGGGGGGGGTGGGGGGATAGTAGAGGATAGGAAAGATAGCAGAATACAACAGTCACTAGTATGGCAATATGTAAAAACGTGGATGTGTAACCGATGTGATTCTGCAATCTGTATACGGGGTAAAAATGGGAGTTCATAAACCACTTGAATCAAATGTATGAAATATGATATGTCAAGAGCTTTGTAATGTTTTGAACAACCAATAAAAAAAAGAAGATTACTCCCCTCTCAATGATCAGGGATTGTATATTAAAATAATAAAATGTTAAGGGCTGGGGATATAGCTAGTTGGTAGAGTGCTTGCCTTGCATGGCCCTGTGTTCAATCCCAATATCATAAAAAAAAGGGTTTTGGGGAAATTCTAAGTAAACTAGTGGGGGAGGGAGAATGGGATAGAGGGTCTTAGGTTGGTAAACTACCCCACTTTTTAAGAATGCCTTGAGCTGGGTACAGAGGTACACACTGTAATCCTAGTGATTTGGGAAGCTGAGGCAGGAGGATTGCAAGTTTGAGCCCAATCTTGGTAACTTAGCGAGGTCCTATGCAATTGCTAACTTTACAAAGAATCTGTCTCAAAATCAAAAAATTAAAAGGGCTGGGGATGTAGCTCAGGGGTGAAGTGACCCTGGGTTCAGTCCCCAGTACCCCTCCCTGCTCACACACATACAAAAGAAAGAAGGATAAAAAAGAATTCCCTGAAATATTAACACACCAAGAGGTTGGCACCAACCTACTGTATTAAATTAACTACATTAAATGAAATAGGAACTTTAGCTCTGTGGTGGCAGGAACCACATTTCAAGTGCACAGAGGCTGCAGGCAGCTATGGTCTCATTTCCTGGTGCAGGTGACAGTGTCCCTCCAGGCAGAGGGCACTTTTAGGGGATTGGGTGCCTCTTCCTTTGGTTTGCACTTTCAGGAGGAGCCCCTCAGGTGAAAGCATGGGCCCCTCAGGTGAAAGCCCTGGGTGTCTGTGTTTCTTTAGGGGAGACCTGGCTGTCAGAGGGTGGCAGTAGTGCTCACCATAGGTAAGCTTTGGGGCTTTGGTTTCTAGTACAGGAAGTGAAGAGGTGGGTGGTAGCCCATGGTCAACCTTCTCCCTTCCTTCCAAGCCTGCAGAGCTCCCTATGTGTCTGGGTTTTAGATATGCTGTTGTTTGAGGAGGTAATGGTGACAGGATACAGGCATTCTGGGGAGTTAAGGCACCATTGGGTTCCCTGGGTTATGAAGAAATTGAAACATTTGGGAGGAAAACACCAAGGTAAATTCAATGGAGCATTAGTTTCATTGTGGGAAGCAGATCTGGGTGTTCCTCTGGAGGACAAATTGCCCTTCTCTTTGGGACCAAGTAGATGATCATAAGGCCCAATGGAAGCAGACAGGAGAAATGACTTTTACATTGAATTGGGTGTTATGGTTTGGATAGGAGATGTCCCCTCATAGTTCCTGTGTTAATGCAGAAATGTTTGAGGGTGAGATGATTAATTGCGAGAGCTGTAACCTAATTGGTCCATCCAAGTTTGAATGGACTAATTGGGTGGTAACTTGTAAGCAGGTGGCTGGAGGGAAAGGCCATTGGGGGCATGTCCTGGAAGTGTTTGTCTTCCCTGTGGCCCTTTCCCTTCTCTCTCTCTCTGCTTTCTGGGTACCATGAATGGAGCAGTTTGAATCCACCACATCCTTCTGCCATGATACTTTGCCTCACCCTCAGGCCCAGAATAATGAAATTGGCTCACCAGGGATTGAACCTCATAAATCATGAGCCCCAAATAAACTTTTCCTACTCTAAATTGCTCATCAGGTATTTTGATGATAGCAATTAAAAGCTGACTAATGCACTAGGAGTTGGGAATTAGACAGGCCAGGGTATGGGTAAGGCCCAGAACAGGAAAGAAGGGTAAAATCTCACAAGCTAGGAGCCCTGCAAGATGGATCTCCCAGAGACCAGGGGGAAGGGCAGGGTGCCTGGGAACAAGGAAGGAACAGGCTTTATACCAGGTACCTGATCTCTGAAACAGACTGCTCATGTAGGAGGGTGGGGTCAGTCAGGTGTGTTGTAACAATTACTTGGTGATGTTCCAACCAGGTGACATGCATCACACCAGAAGTGAGGAATGGTGACTAGAGCTCAGGTCAGTGAGCTTATCAATAAATTCCTACTAAGAGACACAGAGGTGGTCATTCACCATTGTCCTCCCTGGAACCCAGATGCTTGACCCCACTAAGTGTGCCAGAAGGGTAAGGCTGCTGGCCACCTGCAGCTCACCTGTGGAGTCTTCTCTCCTTGTAGTAGCCCAAGGGGTGGGTGATGTAGTAGAGAAGACATGAGTCTAGGAGAATTCTGTAACTTTGAGGGTATCCCAGTGGCTCTGGGGCTTAGCCTCCTTTGTGAAGAGAGACCATCACTGTGTGACCAAGAGGGGCTCTACCTGGCTCCTAGGCTGGTTCCTAGGCCAGAGGTCCACGGTAAAACTAAGCTGCAATTACTTTTCAAGCCTCTCTAGAATTTGGTACCCAAAGAACTTGACCTTTTATCTTCAAGAAAGTTGTACATTTCTAGTGTCTCCTCCTCATAGAACTTTGTGGCCATGTGGTCTGTGGAGAACTGTCCTTCATAGCATTCCCTCTGTGAAGTCTCTGGGGCTGTCCTTCACAGCATGCCCTCCAGTATGACATTCCCCAGTAGCCTTGAAAGCCTTTGCAAAAGGTCTCCCAGGATCAAAACAACAAAATCTGCTTCCATTCCTTGAGCACCAGAGCTAGGGTTGATGGGTCTTGGTGTGACCCTGGAACCTGCCTTCCCTGGGTGCTTCTGGCCCAGGTGGGGCACAGATGGTGGTAGTGGGAGTCTCCTGCACCCTGTGGAAGTCAGTTCAATAGGGGAAGGAGCCCAGTGC